ATTGTAGATAGATTGCTATTGAATTTTGAGGTATTTTAAAAAATGTTATCGGTGACGCTTCTGGCTGATATTGTTAATTTGTACACGTGTGTGTGTGTGGTATGTGTGTGTATTCATACTTATTTTTTGATATTTTTGTTGTTAATCTTTTATATATATGTTTATACTATATTTGTTGTAGCTACATAGGCTTTTTATCATTCACATATATATATATATATATATATATATATATATATATATATATATATATATATATCATCGTTATTATTAGCATCATCATCATCTATCTATCTATCATTATCAACATCGTCGTCGTCATCATCATCAGTACACATCGGTCTTTCAATCGCTTCCATTTACTTGTTTTATTTTATTTTTTTTAAAAAAAACCTAATTTGTGCTATTTCTTCTCCTCAATTTTTACATTAAATTAAAATAATTTTATTATAACTATTTTTATGTAAAAATTGAGGAGAAGAAATTAATGATGATTTATTTATTCATCTGTTTCCTACATTTTCACTCATTCATTCATTCACTCATTCATTTATTTATCCATTCATTCGTTCATTCATTCATTCATTTAATTATCCATTCGTTCATTCATTTACCAACAAAACGCTTGCCAGTAGATGATGGGCAGGTAAACAAATGAATGAACAAACACAAACACACACACGTACATACATTCACACGCACGCATATACACACACGCACACACATACGCACGCACATAAATACGTACATACATTTAAAGGTGGTATGTTCGACGTTCCGGAACTTATCGCTGACGCGTGGAGCGACATTAAACGCAGTTTTAACACTTATAATTATTCAAAATAAATTATTTTCATAATTATTCACTATTATATTTATTTTTGTTACTCTTTTGATATATTTTTTTTTCACAACAAAAAGGAAGTTATTTTTATTTCGGTATTGTACATATGATAGATTTGTTAGGTATTTCTGCAGTATCTTGTCATCTTTAACTCCTTCATGACGTCGATGATAATAATAATAACAATAATAATAATATTTATAATATTATTATTATTTTACGTTTCTCTTCTCTCTCTCTCTCTAAATAAACTCCCCTTATAAGTAATCACCAACTACATCATCATCTATACTCATATTTCTATATTTATATACGTAATTATAGTTAAATAATATATATATTATAATTATTATTTTTTTTATTGTTATTATTATTAATTATTATTATTATTTGATGTCTTTCTAAGTTGTACATTTGTATATGTTTTTAAACCCGTCATCTGGGAAAACTTGAAAAAATGACCTTCGGAAGAACTGGAGAGGCAGCTGGGGGAGTTGGAATTAGGAGAAATATAAAATACAAACACGTTATTGTTATTATTATTATTGTTGTTATTATTTACTATTATTATTCTTTTTTTTTGAGTCTTTCATCTTCTTTACGGTCAACATTTGTTTATCAATAAAATGCAAAGAAAATCACCTAACAACCCAGTTTATAAACTTATTAGGGAAAATCTAGACAGATGGATAGATAGATCGGTTGATGGGTGGGTGGGTGTAGAGAGAGAGAGAGAGAGAGAGAGAGAGAGAGAGAGAGAGAGAGAGAGAGATAGAAATAGTAGACAGATAGACATAGATAGACAGACAGATACATCGCCCAATATAATATATATCTTATGAATGGCTAGATGCATAAAAGTTGTAAAATGAAATGAGTAAAATAGAGAGAAAGAAGTAGATGGAGACTGAAACTGCGATGCATGTGTTGAATGAATGAATGAATGATTGATTAATTGTATGAATGAATGAGCGAACAACCGAATTAACGAATAAACAAATAAATAAAAGAATGGATGGACGAGATATAAAAAAATGAGAACTTAAGAAAACCTATAAACATTAAATTTACAATTATAAAAATGTTTGTTTATATAAATATGTATATATATATATATATATATATGTGTGTGTGTGTGTGTGTGTGTGTATGGTGTGTGTGTATTTGGGGAGTGTTAAACTGTATGGCTAAATGAACTAATGAATGAATGAACGGCT